TATTGACTATTCAATACATTTGTACATGTCTTTAAACGTTTTGATTCGATTTAATATACCAACATAATTAATTGACTAAACTAACTTGGTTGGTTCAATTTCAGTTTGTTGGGTTGATTCAATTTTTGTATATGTGAAAACATGGTAATGAAGTTTTTCTAAGATGTCCAATTGGAAAAATCTATTGACAAACCTTCTATATCTTTTTAAAATTTTTCAAAAATACCCTTAATTAAAAATAAAGGTCAAATATTAAACTTATCAAAATTTATACTTTACCGTCATACTTATATAAAAAAAGTTACCATCTCTAAAAAGATATATATTTTTTTTACTATTTTATCTCCGGTAAAATTTTAAATGTTGATAAGATGTGACTTACAATTAATTAATAATTTATATATTTAATTTAGAATATGAAAAGTTTACTTACCTAAATTAATTTAATTATTATAACTTCTAATTGTGTTATATTTAATTTAAGAATACCAAGAGTCTAGAAAAGTGAAGTGATTTTATTATAAAATTATGTAAGTATGGTTAATTATTTATTCTACATTTCTACCCTAATAAACTGTAGATTCAATATATTAATTATTAATACATTATGATTTTTTATAACATGCACTTTTTTATGATTATTTATTCCGTTAATAACTAATTTGTTTTTTATTTTATTTTTTTAAATTAAACTTAAAATCATTACTTTCATCGTTCAATTTTTTTTTGTTATTTAGTTTTTATAAATATATTTTTTAAATCTCGGTCAAATGTAAAAACAAAAAATTTGAAGTTTTTTTTCAAAGTTGACTCTTTTTAAATGGAGGTGAAAAGTTTATTGATAAAATATATTTAAAAAAAAACATAATTTTTAGGGAAATTTAGGGGGTTTTTTTTTTTTAATATTGTTCCAAATGAAACTTATTTTAAAAATATAGTTGTTTAATTAAAAATATTAAAAATATTGTAGGTTTTGAAACTTATTTTAAAAATATTGTACTTTTAAAAAACAGAAGGTTGGTCGTCTCTTAGACGTGGTAGGCGCAACGTAAATTTTTTTTAAAATTTGAACGTGGTCGTCTTTTCAAGAGACGACCATGTGATGTGGGATGGTCGTCTCTTGAACAGATGACCATCTGGTCGGTTCATTTTTGGAAAAAAAAAATTTGTTATATTATATACTATTTAGTAGTTTATTATAAAAAATTACTTAATGGTCTAATGGGTGTACTATTACCTTAATATTTCTTCCATCCCAAGTTTAAACCTTGGGTTACACACTTTTTTATTAAGATGCATGAACTTGGGATGGAAGTGACCATTCCACATGTCACGTTGCATGGTCGAGAGACGACCACTCTTCACTTTTTTAAAACTAATATATTTTTAAAAAAAGTTTCATGATTCTCCAACTTTACCCTATATATATATATTTTTTTTCTTTCCGGCTCTCCTCTACAACAATGGAGTTTATACTTATCACATTTTTATATGATGGTAATTTGGACCAAAACAATGTCTACAACGATTTCAAAGTCGTTCAAGTGTCAGTTCGTAACGACTCTACTTTATCTCATCTCATTGTGACATGAGTCCTAACGATTATGTCGAATGAGTTGGGGACCGATTATTGCATCGTTGATGATACTGCCTCAGTAGATACAAATATTGACCCTAGAAATGGAAATGTGGTACCTGTAAGTATGACATTAACCCCAGAAATGGAAGTGTGACACCACTGCAAACTACTGTCGATATTGACCCAAAAAATTGAAGTGCCGCACCAGTAATCAAAACCACTGTAGATACTGTCACTGACCCTATAAATGGAACTATGACACCAGTACCGAACACAACTTGCCATTAATGCGAGAAATTCAAAGTAATGGATCCAATTCACAGTCATTCTTTTCCATTAAATTTTGCACTAAAAAATATGTGTTTTAGCATGGAGAGGGAGAGAGAAGGCATTAGAATCAATTATGGGGTCGCCTTCGAACAATCATATGCAGTCATTCCAACCTTTCCAACAAAGTTGATTGAGAAGAATCTAGGTCCATATATATATTCATACTTTGTAATTTCGGCTGGGTACCATATTTACAATCATACTTTATAATTTTGTATATTTACCAAACATTATTCTTCAGGGATGTGTACAGCCCACGAAATTGATGTTTATGCAAGAGTTTGCACAACGGTTCTTCACGAATCAAGCTCGAACCTGGTCTCCGGTTCTGACCTGATCACTAGAATGGACCTGCACAAGAGGGGAGGCACTCCGACGCTCAAGTCAGTATAGATCGGACTCTGTATTTAGTTCGAGGTGAGATTACATACCTGAGCGTGAAATGAAGTCCTCTATTTATACGTGATGGATCCGACAGTACACACGACTGGCGGTTATATGTCTTTTCTCATGTCGAACTTGTCGGGTTCCAAGCAGGTCGGACCCCAACCAGGTCGAACCTTGACGCCCATACTTAGCCTTTTATAATGAGCGAATCCGGTCTCCTCGGCAGTGCCGAGGTGGACCTAGGCAATCCCTTTTATCCAGTTTCTTCAAACACCAATAAGGGTCCTCCACGTGTCTTGGTATGTTTACCCCCAAACAATTGATGTCAAAGCATATTCAAATACTTTTTTATGGGGGTTGTTTTTGTGCCACAAAGATTTGTCGAGCAAAAAGAAAAATAGGAAGGATGGGGAAAAAGCCTTCAAATGACAAGTTTAGGGACCCAATAATCATATTTACCCATCCCATCTAGGAATTTTAAAATTTAAAGTTTAGAAAAAAAATTATTAAATTTAAGAATCTATATCAACAAAATTTTAATAATTTTCAGCAACTTTCAAAATATAGATTATCAATTTTAAATTAGATTTTAATTGTTTAATTTCATTATTTGGTTAGTTACAATTGATTCCATACGGTTTGTTTTTGCTAATCTACTTTTTAAATTAAATTTTGGTTGTTTAAAATACTTAAATATGAAGCATATATAACTCATTTGTTACAGGGGTATATTTGTCTAAAATGTTACTCATTATCCTTAAAAAAAATTAAATGCTTTCTTTATCTGGAGCAACTAGAGGAGTGATCATATTAAACAGTGGCGACTTGAAAAATGGTCAAAAGTATCCAATCATAAAAATGGCCAATGGACAGTTGTAGTTCAAGGCTAGATGGACAAATATATCCTCCCATCCAAATAGCTAAAATTATTCTACCATTACCCCTAAAATTTTGTGACCAAAATTGTCAACCAAATCTTTGCTACAACTTAATCTTAGAAAATAAACTAGTGAATCAAAATTTTAAAATTCAAAATTTCAAAAATAAAGAATACTTTGAAATTAAAAAAAAAAAGATTTAAGATGAAAGAATATGAAAAATAATCTAACAAAACGTAAAATCAATCCAGAAAAGTGGAAAATGAGTAGAAAAAATAGGATTGAAAAGTCAAATATTGTTTTTAAAACTATGGAGGCGTAGCTACATTGGGAGATACAATAATTAATACAGTGGCAACCTTCAAACTCACGAATCGTCTCCTTCTTCTCCAAAACACATAATTGATCATTGACACTGAAATTTATTTTTTAGGGATGTGTTATCAACGTAAAATACTGAAAAACAGTGTTTTCATCCATCTATGCTGCCAGACTCATAAAGAAAATTTAAACCTCCCATCACCATCAACCTCGTGGGCTGTGTACATCCCTGCATAAATCTATAGGATAAATACGTATATAGACAGAAGAAAGATAGAGTAAGTAGAGACACATGGTATTTGGATTTTTCACAATCAGTCTGGCTGCAAAAGACGAGATTGAGAGCATACGACTGTTCAGGTGACCCCTTGATGAGTTTAAAGCTTCTCTCTTCCTCTCTAGGCCTTGTCATAACTAATATTGATTCCATGCTTCTTCCGAACGTAATCAATTATGTCACGTGGACCACAATGTCTTCAGTTGTTCATGCTTCACATTGTCTTCGCACATTCACTTATCATTGTTTTTTCGCTTGTCTATAGTCATTATGAATAACATCAATCGAACAAGTGTGCTCTAGTAAGAGTCTAACAATCCATAATTTACCGTCACCGTATCAAGAGAAGTGAATATATCAGTTGCATGTTTCTTCTATGCACCTTACAATCAACTATTTCTGGTTGGATTTGACGGTAACTGAAAACTCCCTTTTAATTCAATCGCATAAATAACTTTCTTCAATTCTTCCTTGTTTTGAAAAAACATAGAATTCTTCCAATGAGAAATTAGAGGGAGCACAACCAAAATCAATAAGATCCATGAAGATAAATTTCTTCCCCCCAAGGTAAACTATGTTTTGAGTGACATTCACACTTTTGCTGTCTCCGTAGATGACGTTATATACGGGGTCAGTTTCCCCAACTATGCCTGCTGCCCATGATATCTGACAAAAGTGATATGACCCACACCACATTCTCGTCTACTAATAGCCTCATAATGATTGACTTTCTCGACCATTTCTGATCAATGAAAGACCGCGTAACTTTCTTTCATTCTGGAAAATGAAAACATTTAAAGATGCATGCAATGCGTTGTTGTGTGGTGGAATCGAATAAAATTGAAACTGTCCATTACTTGACCCTTTGTAATTGTCTTGCTCCTCCCAACTTCCATCATGTAAACCATGGCTACAAGTGATTGCATAGAATTGTTGCATTGCTTGATTTAAAATCTCAAACAATGGAACCAAAATGGTGGTTGATGAAACTCGTGTAAGAATATTTAAGAGATCTAATATGGAGATTGTTAGTGAAATTTATTAACGAATTGGTTATGTTTGTTCTACAATTTAATTAGATTAAGTTGGAGACAAATTAATAAGATTTTAAAATAATTATTTATGAACTCACACACCATGATTTATGGAATCTAGGATGCTGAACATCTGGAGGGTAAAATGGAGAAATGACTTAAGGGCATCCAACATGAATCTAGACATGTGCGTAGGAGTAAATATGGAATTCTAATACTCCCATGATTCTCAGAAATCCAAATTTGGCAATAGGTACGAAAAGAAACCTTTCCCCATTTGTCTCGTAAGTAGCCATTAGATTTCTCTATTTATAGGTATAAATTTTTGAATTAGATTTTAATGGTTTAAATGATTAGTTACAATTGATTCCCTGCAATTAAGATCCTAAATATCAGTTGTTTAAGATCCTAAAATTATATATACCTAATTTGTCTGTGGGTATATAAATATTATTGAAGATTCTAAACCAATCTCCATGGCCATTTGTGTTTAATTGCCTTCTTTGTTTTGGCCATTCTGTTTCGCCTCATTTTTATCCAACAGCACATACATTTTCTGTTCAAGAAAATAGCCTAAAGAATTTGTACATCCACAGGCAGATCACCGATCCTTCTCAGATGGATCCATTTCTCGAGCCACAGTCCATCGCCCAAATCCAAGCATGGGAACAAAGGCCCAGCAGATTTCCCCGAGCGATTCCATCTCTCCAACTCAGTGAGTCTTCAATCCATCCTTCTCAAATCTCAACTCATCCACACTGTTCTGAATCTGTGTGCGACACATTGTCACTGCTACAAATCCAGAACGGATAAGCGTTTCCCCTTGTCACCTGCAAAAATGGCGTCCGATTCCGGCCACAAAGCTACGATAATCGACGGCAAAGAAATCGCCCAGACTGTCAGATCTGAAATCGCGGAGGAAGTGAGCAAACTCTCAGAGAAATACGGAAAGGTTTTTTTTTATCAATTTCAATCTGATAATTGTGCTACAATTTATGTGTTTAGCCGCGTCTGATTTCAGCATTTTGATCTTGTTCCTTTTGGTGTGGGATTTCCGAAGGTTCCGGGACTGGCGGAGGTGATTGTCGGGAGTAGAAAGTGTTCACTGAGCTATGTAAATTTGAAGAGAAAGGCTTGCGCGGAAGTCGGAATCAAGTACTTCGGTTTTGATCTTCCTGAACAAGTGTCTGAGGCCGAATTGATCGCCAAGATTCACGAGTTGAATGCGAATCCTGAAGTACATGGTTAATCTCTTCTCTACTTTTTGAATTCCTTGTGCCAACAATTGCATTGTTATATTGTAGTAAACGTCTTTCTGCTAGATAAATGATGTTTCCATTAATTTTTCCAATCCTTAATAAATTTAATTGGAGCTTTTTATCTTTCTCCAAGCATATAGTTTATTCTTCTGAGAGCATCGCTTTTTAGTACTTGGCTTTTAAGTTTTTTTTTCAAGTCTTCGAAAAAATTCAGATGTGGCTACAAGTAGTTTTCACACTGTTCTAGAAGTTATACTAAGCTTACCCTTATTATGTGGTATTGGAGTTTTTGCATTTGAAGATTTTTTTCTTTTTAATCCTAAGAAACTTGAAAACTTCCGTTCGAATTTTCTCCCCCAACAAATCTATTGGTTTGTTGCTTTTACAGGTATATTGGTTCAGCTTCGTTTGCCAAGGCACATAAATGAAGAGAAAGTTTTAGCTGAAATAAGCATCGAGAAGGATATAGATGGCTTTCATCCTCTGAACATCGGGAAGCTTGCAATGAAAGGCAGAGATCCCTTATTCCTACCTTGCACTCCAAAGGCAATAACAAATGTTTATAAGCCTTAGAGAATAATCATTAAACTCATAAATCTTTGTCAACTGGAAGAGCAGTAGCTCCTTGTATATCATTGTTCAAAGATTCCGTTTCGTTTCGTTTCATTTTTATGTTGATCATAGCTCAGAAAATGGTAACTCATGTCATAAGTTCACTTCTGAGATAATAATGTTTTATTATGTGCAGGGGTGTCTTGAGTTGCTGTCACGAAGTGGAATAAGTATTAGGGGAAAGAAGGCTGTTGTTCTGGGGCGAAGCAACATAGTTGGAATACCAGTTTCTTTGCTGCTTCTGAAAGCAGATGCAACCGTGACGATTGTTCATTCGCTTTCTGGTGATCCAGAAAGCGTTATCCGGGAAGCAGATATCATAATTGCTGCAGCCGGACTGGCACAAATGGTATGCTAGATTTTACAATGGCATTGTTTTCCCCTCCCCAATTCTTATATTTGAATATCTGTTTGGCTTCACCGAGGATCTCAGACTTTGGTTTCTAAGTTTACTGGAAAATGATAGGAAGTATGTTTAGGTGCTACATTAGTATTAGAAAAATAAAGGTTAGTTTACAAATTTAGTCCCCAGAGATTCATGTTTATTTCTATTTAGTCCTTAAATTTTAATAACTTTCAATTAAAATTTTGGTTCTATTTATTAGACAAATCTTAAATGGTTTGACATGAAGTGCTAGACAAATGGTCGAAAGAAATTGATAGTGAAACAAAATAGAGTGACAATCTATAAAATCACTTTTATAGATACGTTGCTTAAAGCACATGCCACTTTATTTGGTTGAATTATCTACTTTCTTCAGCCATCTATCGACCCCATTGTGCCAAATCAGCCAACCATCTGTCTAATAAGTATGCAACATCATTATTTAGTTAACAATCTTAATAGTAGAACTAATTAGAATCATAATTCAAAGTCCAGGAACAGTAATTAGAAGTTTTTTAGAACTTATATACTAAACAAACCTTACCCTCAAAGATTTAAAGTCGTAATTTAATCTCTGGAGAGATCAAACTTTATCATATGAATGTGAATGATGGCTTTTGCACCAGTGCAATGATGTCTTCTGGTTGCTAATATTCCTAACATATCTTTTTTTCTCCATTTTTATTATTATTTTTTTTTTTGGAACAACTTTGTGTGAGACTTAATTACTGATGCATATTGTTGGTGGGTTGTTTGATGTTAGATCAAGGGCAGTTGGATCAAACCGGGTGCTACAGTCATCGATGTTGGTACAAATGCAGTTGATGACCCAACCACAAAGTCGGGCTACCGGCTGGTTGGGGATGTAGATTTCCAGGAAGCTTGTAAAGTGGCTGGTTGGATAACGCCTGTTCCCGGTGGCGTCGGCCCAATGGCCGTCGCCATGATGCTCAGGAATACTCTGGATGGCGCTAAGCGGGTGATCGAGCAGTGATACGATGTCGTTTCAGTGTTGCATCAGTAAAGAATATGACGTTCCATATTTTGGGAGATATGATGTTGTGAAGACTTATTTTCGTTTGTTGAAAGTTAGATAAAGATCGAGTGTTCATTTTCTCTGCAGGGACCTGCCTAAACGGAGTGGAGACCCATTCTAAACGGGACGAGAATCTCCATTTAAGCTCTTCGTGGGTTGAGATGGGAGACAAAGAATACGTTCCTCGTCCCCGTTCCCACTTTTTTTTAGTGGTTTAAGATTTTTTCAAGGATTCTCGATAGTGATTCAATCATGAGATGAGGATTCGTCCTTCTTGGGAATTAAGCATCTAATTAGAAATTTATTTTAAAAATTATTTAATTGAGAATTTTTTTAAAAAAATAATAAGCTGAAAATTATTCCCCTCAGAAATTTCAATCCCTGTGAATTCTCTGCCCTAATCCCCTAAAACTGTAGTGAGAAATTTCAATGAGATGGAAATTGAAATGGAGAGCATAGATGGGATGGGGGAAGGCTTACCCATCTACCATTCCCATTCCGTCTCATGGATGGACTGTTTGGTTTAAGATTTATCGTAATCAAAGATAACTGTGTTTTGTTTGGTCGTGCGTGGGAATGTCATTAAATTTTTATGAAAATAAATTTGTATATATTTATTTTGTGTGATTACTCCAGGAATAGGTTCCATTTGAATGTTACTTGACGTACATCTATTTCTTCCGAGTGGCCTATATATCCAAATTTTAACACATACATTCTTCAACAAGAACAACTTAATTGAGAATTTTCAAATATACTATGCATAAAATTAAGAAATTTTAAAGATTAAAGAGACCAAATTCACAAAGAAGAAAGAAAAAATTAAAAGATTAAGAGATAATGTTTTGGACGGGTCGTTTTGGAAATTTGTTTTCACAAATGTTTAATATTTACAAATTTTACAGTTTTAGGTTTCTGGATTTAAATTTTTTTTCCAAATGTCAAATTTACCTTTATTTATGATATTTATATTTATTATAATGAGTTTTTTTCTATTTAAATGCAAAAGAGGTAATGTTTCAAATTTGATTTTTTAAACATTAAATCATTGTGGCCCCAAATCAATTATACTCATAATCTTCTAATTTACTTCTTAATATATTCTAATATTTTTTTCTAACTGTACAAATGAATATAATAGACAAGCCAAAAACACATACAAGTTAATAGCAAAACATGAGTACAATAACATAAAAATAATCTTATTATAATAAGGACCATTATAACATAAACTTATATGGAGATATAAATTGTATCTATCTACTATTATAACATAAACTTATATAGAATTATAAACTATAAGTATTGACTATTGTTTGGGGATGAAAATACCCTGGACATGTGGAGGACCCCTATTGGTGCTCCAAGATGGCCCATGAGTCATGCCCAGCTCGGATAGCCGAAATGGCTGCCACCAACGCCGACGAAAGCTAAGTATGAGGGCCGAGGTGAACCTGACCCAGGTCTGACCTACCGGGGAGCTCGGTAGGGGCCGATGTGAGCAACTGTCGGTCCCGAGATCACCGGGTGTAACCGACGGTCCCGAGATTACCGACTGTAACCATCGCGAGATTAGCGGGCCCACCACCCATAAGTAGAGGACCTCACTTCCCGATCAGGTACGATGATTTCTGGCTTCGAACTAAACTTGGAATCCGACCTATACTGACTTGATCGTCGGAGTGCTCACCTTTTTGTGCAGGTCCGCCCAAATGTTCAGGTCGGTACGGAGGC